TATGAAACTCGGCGAAGTTCTGGTCCAGTATGAAACTCGGCGAAGTTCTGGTCCAGTCATGAAACTCGGTGAAGTTCTGGTCCAGTCATCCTGGCCTCCTCTTATGGTTCCAGTGACGGAGTTCTCCAAGAAGACCGGGGACTACCCGAGCCTGTCGGCCACCGACATCAAGGTTCTGGCTCTGACCTACCAGCTGGAGCTGGAGCACGTTGGACCGGATCACCTGAAGACAGAACCGGAGCTTAAGGTAGCGGCTCAGCTTGCCTGGGTTCTCATCCGTCTGCTCCGGGTGTCACAAGTAAAACCAGTAACTTCTGTTTCAGGTGAATGTTCAGAGCACACGGCGCCACCCAGAGGCTCCAGTCAACATCGCAGGATTCCATTTTCCCTCCAAGGTACCGGACCGGCCGCTGAATTTAACCTCCGGGACCCGGTGTGGGAAGCCTGAGTTCTGTTTGTCTCCTCAGAGGTCCGCAGACGGTCCGGCTGTCGGACACGTTCGGAACGAAGCGGAGTCCCCAGACCAGTCGGACCAGTTCAACAGCTTCCAGTTCTGGAGGGACCCCCTGCCGAGCATCCAGGGAGACCTGCTGGAGCTACTGGTGGGTCGGCGCCCTGCAGACTCCGCCTCCAGCCGGCGGGTCGTTGGTACTAACGGGCCGTGGTTCTGTTCCATCAGGGTCCAACTGAGTCTCTGGAGGCTGACGTCCAACAGATGGTCCCAGACGGACACTTCAACAGCTTCCAGTTCTGGAGGGACCCGCTGCCCTGCATCGACGACGACCTGTTGGCCCTCCTGGTGAGGTCATCGTCCAGCCTGGTCTAGAACCCGAGACTAGAAAGGCAGGCAGACGGACCGGTGACCTCTGGGGTCACCAAGGGTCTGGGTTTGTGTGTCACTTTAGGGAGGAACCAACCTGAGAAAGTAGACTGCCTGTGATTGGCTAGTTCTCAGGAAATCCCGCCTCTTGAGACGGAACAGTTTTCTTCCTGGTTTGGCTCCTGGTGTTAGCAAAGCATCTTTAGGCTAAAGGCTGAATGACATCATCACATCTAGAACATCTTAGATCTATGAAACAGAATAAAGCGCTGATCCAAGCAGGGCCAGGACGGATTTAGGAAATTTGGGGCCCGGGGCAAAGACAGGCAGGGGCCCCTCTGAATGGAGAAGACAACACATAAACAGCCCCATTCTCCAGATAGAGAAATGTTAATAGAATAGACATCCATTATCTGTTCTGGGTTGTGTCCCTCTCTTCTTGTCCCTTTTCTTCTTGTTTTCCTCTCTGGAGAGCAGAGTTCGCTGCTTTTAGATGTTGTCTCCAAAGTCTCCA